TTTTTTCTCCATTAGATGTTTCTACTTCTCTTACATGATTTTTAAACTTACTACAGTAAAACTTTTATACTAAAAACACAAGGATCGTACGATAAAATAACAATATTGTGAAAATGTTAAAGTGACATTTAATCCAAAAAGCAAAATTCATGAAATTAACATAGTCGCGGAGTGTGCGGCGTCGTAGGCTCACCGACTCGGTAAGGGCCGAGCGATAACCTTGCCCATACCTATAACAATCCAAAACTTAATGTATTAACCACGAATTTACGAGTAATCAAGTATGTTTTAGAGAAAGAAGAATCGATGTGGTAAAGATAGAAAGGATAAATAGATCAACAAAACTATCAGAATTGTCATGAACTCTTTAAGGTTTTTCCTAAACAGCTAGTTCTCGGTTTACTATACAATGTCAAATGATTTGTGCATCCACCGGATAGCAATCTGGATACTAATAGACTTCGATCACATTAGAGAAGTTGCCGATGCTAGACCTTAATCTTTGTCCAAGAAAATACAAAAGATATGCCCTATAGCAATCGTTACCTATGTGGCCGATGTACAGTAGTCACCGATGGTACTTCTTCTTATCCTTGGTCGCTCTTGGAGGCTGCAACTTCACGTCACCATTGAAATTGTAACATTCAACATTCAAGAAGAGAAGCACTATTGCAACATTCAAGCGGGGTATCAGCATGTTGCAAAAAATCATTGAATCACAAGGAATCTGATAGAACAGGGGAAGCTTGCATGGGTCAGACGAGAAGAGAAGCACTGGGCGTGATGGGATGTTATGTGGGCTGAGCATGCTAGAGCTATAGTTGCTGCTTGCCCGACTAGAGCCACGAAAGGGGGAGCCGTCCCTATGATGCCGATGGAGAGGGGAAGGTTGAAGTAGCTAGATCAGGGGCCGCACCGCTGCCAGGGGCTGCCGAGCACGCGGGTTTGGCCAGGCTATCGCTGGGGGCCGCGGAGCTCGATGGCCTAGCCGCACCTTGTTGAGCTAGGGAGGAGGAAAGGGCATACCTTGTCGATCTGCTCACTCTTCATCCCGCTCGATCTGCTCTCCCCTCATCTCGCTCGAGGCTCCTTCTGCCCGCCGACCGGATCTGAGGGGGCACCACCGCCGCCGGTGTCGCTGCGGGGTGGCCACGCCATCGCCCCTACACCTTGCCACGCCTATCCTAGGAGTCGTTGTAGGTGCCGGTGGCGCGGTGGGACAAGCCAGACCTAATGGCAGAACGTAGAACCCCGACGTCTGATGCTGAACCTTCCCAGCCAGTGGAAACATAAACGAAGTTAGGTCAAAGTCACATGCAAGCATCACATTTTGAGAAAGAGTTCATTTTCTATTCCGATACGGTGCTGCTTTACTTGCACTGATTGTGATTAGAACATGAGTCCCATCTATCGCACCTAAGCAGTTCTGCAAGGGAGAGAAGATGTGCTATTTGTAATTAGTATATATGTAAGAAAAAGGTGAGAATTTTGAAACAGTACATATATTTGTTATATGTACCTGAAAGTAAGGCGCAAAATGTGGATTGATCGATATTTTCCAATGGGTCTCAGATGATGGGAGCTTCACAAAATCAAAATTCAATGAAGAGATTGCATCAAAGGCTACTGCGATATGTCTATGTATTGTCTCTCCACTGTGTTGAAACATATCACACAATGCAGTAAAACTTGCATTTCGTGCAAGCATGTACATGAACATTGCTAGTTGTTCTTCTACAGTAACCCCTCTTGTACTCTTTAAAAACCCTCTTGAACTAAGGTAATCTGCAAGTGCTTTGAAAATCCATGGCTCCATACGCAAATTATGATAAGAACGATGTGGATGGCCCTCAAGAAGTTCGCGTGTATATTCTGAACCACTAAGCTTTGAAGTGTAATATGGAGTTCTTGTTCTAATTCTGATAGAAGCTAAATATAGCGCCGGAAAAACAAGCATCGTCATTTCATCATCTTCTTCTTCCTCAGATATAGTTTTAGCCCTTTTATTATAATCCATATCCACTGACTGGACATATCTATCTGAATTACCTAACGAACCAGGCCATGAGAATTGAGAAAATGGAACATTGCAAAGCAAAGCATGACCAAACAACCTATATGTAGCACACTGTACACTTCCTCTGAAGTTATACACGTGAATGCAAAAACAACAAGAATGCAGGCTGTAGTGTTATCCTAGGCTAGTGCGGCTCCACACAAAATGCACAAGTACTCCATCCATTTCCGTTTTCAAATATATGACGTTTATAACAAGCTAATTACTTCATAATATATATCTGAGCTACTTCATAATATATGTATCTTAGATATGTCGTGTGCACTTGCACTCTAGATCAGTTTCTTTCCCTTCCACCTCTTCTAATCGCATATACGTATATGCAGTCATGCACGCACACTGCAGATGGCTTGCACACACATTGCTTCAATTTGTTCTTCTCATGAGAAGCCGCATGCTTCCGTCAGGACCAAAATACTCGGCGTCCATGCAGATACCTACCGAAGTCGACAATGTTTGATCGGAGTTCACATGTTCTTAATGCAGCAGCTACAAATCTAACGTACGACAGCAATGCCATGCGGGCAGCTTCAGCATACATATCATCTATCAAACATATCTAAGATACATGTCTAATGCATAATCAGCAAAATTGATTGATCCCAATTATTCAACCGTGCATTGGGGAAACATAGAGAGCTGCCATGAAACATACAGAGCTGAATTGTTCAACTTCAATTTGGTTTCAATTTCAACCATGCCATTTCACTCCTCATTCAGATAGGTTTCACACATAATCAGCAAGTGCAGGCAAAGAAGCATGTGCAACACATCCAGATTAGCTCCTTATTCAGATAGGTTTCACACATCCAAAGATCCAACAAGAAGAAGAAGAGATGGGGATTAGGAGAGGAAGGTATTTTGTTGCTTGGGCCGTCCCTAGCCCCCACGCGATCTGCCCGTGGCCCGCCGTGTTCACAAGATCTGCCATGCCGAGGCCGAGCTTGCAAAGCTTCGCTGGAGATGGGAGGCCGTCATGAGAGGGAGCGCCACCGGCGAGGGAGGAGCGCCGCCGCCGGCGGCGAGGGAGGAGCGTCGCCGCCACCGGGAGGGAGGAGCGCCGTCGGCCGTCGGAGGGAGGGAGCGTCGTCGGGCGTCGGGTCACGAGAGAGACGAGGGGGGATTTTTCTTTTTTTATTAGCCGCGGTATCACAGGGGGTCAGGGTGGGCAGACGGACGAACCAAAATAAATATCGCAGGGTCGATGCATGATTATTGTTTCCTTTCATGCATGTGGCCTCAGGTGATCGATTTGTTTCCTTCAAAGCAGGCGTTGATCATTTGAAGAACATCAACGTACCTGCCTTCTAGAGCAGCATGATTTCGATGCATGATTATTGTTCCTTCTATGCATGTGACCTCAGGTGATCGATTTGTTTCCTTCAAAGTAGGTGGGAATCCTTTGAAGAACATCAACGTACCTCCCTTCCAGAGCAGCATGATTTCGATGCATGATTATTGTTTCCTTCCATGCATGTGGCCTCAGGTGATCGATTTGTTTTCTTCAAAGTAGATAGGTATCGTAGGCGTGGGCAGACAGACGAACCAAAACAAATGTAGCACAAAAAAATATCCACGTTTTGTTCTTTTTAATTGTAGGAGATTTGAGAAGAACTTTCTCTTTTTTTCCCTCCCCTTTTCTACCTCTCTTACCGTACATTTTTTCTCTATTAGATTACCAGTGTGCTGCTCTTCTTCTCAGCTTCTTTTAAAAGATTCTTCTTCTGAGTCCAGGTCATCACTCCCAAAAGAAAATGAAGAGTCATGAACTCATTGCACATTACTAAGGCGCGTCCAATGTTGACCTTTGCCAATTCCTTGTTCATGCATGACGACGACGCTCGTGTTCTCACTACGGAGCTTGTCAAAGTCTTATATTGTTGTTATAGTGAAAAAGGTCTTATATTGCCATTTATCTGACAAATCGTTGTGGAAAAAAATCTAACAAATAAAATCAAGAACAATCACACGGACTCGCTCATAACGATTTTTGTTAGTCCCGCCGTCCATAACTTTGTTTTGTGTAGCTTGCTGGTCGCTATTCCGCTATTATTTCTCATTGACAAACCCTTTTTTTTATGCCATGTGTCACCGGTTTCTGTATCAATGATTCAATGTCAAGAAAGTACCGCTGCATAGATCATTTCTCTCTGTTCGTCATGCAAAAGATAGCATTAGACCAATGCAACGTCCTCTTACACGTTGCTGCTACCCATTCTTCTCGATTTGATTTGTGGGTTTTCTTTCTCCTTCCCCATGCCGCGCAGCCTATGTTCCAATTTTTTTTAGATAAGGGAACAAATTCCCGGCATCTACCTGCCCATGTCTCTATTAGCTATTGTTTTTTATCCATCATCATTGTCAGGTCAGGCTAATCACCTAGACAGAGCAACGAAGTCACCTAGACAGAGCAACGAAGTGGACGTGCATTTCCCACGAGAAGACAGTGCATTTCCCACGAGAACTTGAATGAATAAATTTCACACAAATCGGTTCAACTTTGCAAGGAAAAAAAAAGGATGAATGAACAAACCGCTTTCCAATCAAGGTCTAGGTAGTCTTTAAAGTAATGCTGTAGCTGATAATAACCAATTAGGTGTTGTATAAGATAAATAGATAAATAAAAAGTGTGTATTTCACAATTCACTTTCACGCTAATAAGTTCTCTAGTGACGAGTATAGCTACGCTACGCTAATCCTATTGCCTGAAATTCCCCTGCTAACAAGCAGGGGAAGCAATCCAAAATCGTCCTCCAGTACTGGCGTACGTCTTTGGCCCTTTCTTCCGTTTCATTCTGAATTGTTTCCCTTACTCGAGAGCAGCAGCCCTGCAAACTACTTGAGTCTAGCAATCCTAACCGAGACGATGGACGGGGATGAATTTACAATGCAAGCAGCAGCAATGTCTTTTGCCGGATCTTCGTCAGATAACCGCGTCGTCCTGTTCAGAATCAGAGCTAGGAAGCTTTTCATGGTGGCCGTGGCCGCCCCATATTCTGACTCTCTCCAACGCCAGCGACGCCTGAAACCAACACACATAAAGCCACCCGGCCGATTATATATTTATATCTATTCTTTGTACTTCTCCTCTGCTTGCATTCACAAAAAAACAGATTGGTTGTCACCTACCTCTGCTTTCCAGTCGGTCGTCCAGACTATGTAGCCGAGGATGGCTGTCTGCAACGCTGTCCCGCAAAGCATGCCCGCCCAGATGCCCTGCAACGATACAATGCAATGCACCCCAAATTCAGCTATCAGGCCCTCTGCTTAATGAAAAACGGGCTATATTCCCTGATCGCGAAAAAAAAATTCAGCCAGCAGGCGAAGAGGATCGACCACCATTGATGCATGCAGAAGCAGAATTGCAGATGCATGGCTCAGTAGTCAGTACCTTGACCCCGAATCTGAAGAGGTAGCCGAAGATGAAGCCGAGCGGGAGGCCGAAGGCGTAGTAGCAGCCGAGGTTGATGTAGGCGACGACGGCCTGCCAGCCGCCGCCCACGGCGACGCCCGAGATGACGGGCTGGACGCTGTTGAGCACCATGGTGACGGCCACCAGGTAGGCGATGCTGGACACGGCCTTCTGCAGGTGCCTGTCGCCGGTGAAGATGACCGGGAACTGCTCCCGCGTCGCCAGCACGAGCACCATGGCCAGCAGCCCGAACGCCAGCGACTGGGCCAGCACCACCATCACCGCGTACATGCTCGCACGGGGCCGCCCGGACCCGAGCTCGTTGGACACGTGCACGCTGCATGGATCATCCATGGACGGCAATTAATGGCAGTCATTGCTCATCGATCAATGTTTCCATGTTCTGTTGAGTTTCTTCCTTGAAATGAATGAGTGTTAATTACCTGATGGCCGCGCTGAGGCCGATGAACAGCATCCCCTCCCACCCGTTGATGTTCATGCTGCTCGATGGATCCATCCGTGGTGCAATCCAAATTTATTATCAATTGATTGAGATGGAAATTAAAGATGGATGAGTAACGGTGCGACGACGAACCAGATGGCTATGGAGTCGACGGCGATCTCGGCGGCGTCGAGGTGTCCGGTGAGCACGACGAGCAACATCATGTACCACATCTCGAGGGCTCGAGGCAGAGCATGACGGCGGATGTGAGCGAGAGCTTGACGAAGGCCCAGAGGTCGGTGAACGCGGCCCTGGACAGCCCCGTCCAGCCGTCCCGGCACCATCCCAGGACGTAGGCCACCTGCGCGAGCGAGGTGAGCCACGACGACACGTCGTAGGCGAGCGCGGCCCCGGCGACGCCCCATCCGAGCACGGACACGAACAGCGCGAGGAGCGCGACGTGCGCGAGCAGCGCGGCGAGCCCGATCCACGCCAGCACGCCCACCTTGCTCTGCGCCTGCAGGAACTTCTGCGCGGGGAAGTTGACGGCGAGCGCGAACATCTGCGGGATGATGCCGCGCGTGAAGGTCCCCGCGGCGGCGGCGATGCCTTCGTCCTGCCCCAGCAGCCGCAGCACGGGCGCCGCGTACACGTACAGCGGCGTGAGCAGCGCGGCGGAGGCGGCGAGCACGATCCACAACCGCTGCATGTAGACGCCCAGCATGGCCACCTGGCCCGCGCCGAACGCCTGCCCGCACAGCGTCTCCAGCGCGCTGCCCATCCCGAGGAGGAAGCCGAAGGAGAAGTTGGAGATGACGGAGAGGCCGATGGCCACCGCGGACAGCTCGCGGTTGCCGATGTGGCCCGCTAAGATCTGCGTCGTCGAGTTGGTGCCGTACACGCAGATGATGTTGAAGGCGATGGGCGCGTCGATCGCCCACAGCCGCCGTGACTCCTCCACGAACAGCGCCCACGCGGCGCGCGGGGACTGCACCGCCGGCGCGTCCCGGTGTCGAGCCGGTGGTGGCGGAGACGAGCGCGCCGACCTCGTCGTCGTCGTCGCACGCCGCTACCACCATGTCGGGCGGCGGGTCCTTGGGGGCGGGGCCGGTGGTGGCGGGGGCAATGCCACCAGGATGGCGCGGGCTGCGCCTGGCGTGGGGGCTGCTGGTGTGGGTGACTCCCGTGCACACCACCACCGCCGACGCGTCCCGTGCGTTGGTCACGACGAGCGCGCCGGCCTCGTCCTCGCACACCGCTACCACCATGTCGGCGGCGGGAGTCTGCGGCGGGTCTCTGGGGGTGGGGGTGCCGGGGGAAATGCCAGGATGGCACGGGCTGCTGGTGTGAGCAGGCGCTCCGTGTAGCTCGTGGCGGAGGGTGCGGGGTGGGTAGCTGAGGGTGGAGGGGCGCCGCTGCACGCCCGCCCGCTCGCTCCCGTTTGCCTTTCTTGGCGTCTTTGCTTAGGCTTGCGAACGCCTTGACCTGAATGCGAGAAAATTGGAAATTTGCCCTCACGGCGGGTGGGCTTCGCCAAAATGCCATCAAGTTTGTGGATTTCGCTGAAATGCCCTTATGAAACGAGTCCAACACGTTATAATGCCATTTTGAAATTTAAATCTACTTTTAATATTTTCACCCAAAATTTTAGTCTGAACCGACCATTTTACCCCTGAGCTCATTCACCCGTCGTCTACCGTACCGGTAAAAATATCTCCTCTCTCTATCCCCTCGTCACTTCTCTTCCCCTCCCTCCCTCTTCCTCTCTCCCGTTCTTTCTCCGTCTCGACCGGTGTCCCGGTGGCGGCCTTGATGTGGCCGCACCTCGGTGGGCTGCACCTGCGTCTACTGCCCGTGAACGCGCCCTATCTCGTGTCCCGGCAAGAGGCATGGCAGCTGGCGCGAGCGCTTTCATGAGCAGCTCGACGGCGGATTTTCTGCACCTCAAGCGAGTCCAGCTGCCATCGGCCATCGCCGCGACCCGATGTCCGCGCCAGGATTCAAGAGATTTGTGATTTTATTTTCGCAACTCTGCGTTCTTGTGTTTTTCTCCTCTCCTGTTCGTCCTTCAATTGGTCGATTTAAGGGCGTTTTTGTTCGTTCTTTTTTAGTCAATTCGAGCAAGGATATGTGCTGATCAAATCCCCCAAGTGATTCAACTAATTTGGTACGAGCTCGTAGATCGATCCAATTTTCGGTTTAGGGTTAAAACCCCCGTTGTTGCCCCAAATCTTGCATTTCCTGGAGTTTAAGCTGAAATTGGGCGATGATCTCTTAGAGTATGCTCACCAACTCCTTTGTGATGGTCTGTGCAATGTTTGGGAGCGATTCGTTTTGATTTCGACCGGTTTCGTCGATTTTTGTGCTCGCCCCTTCTCTGTTCGTGCGCTCGTGTTCGTTCTGTTCTTGCGTTCGAGCTCTAGATGGCCGCATCGGTGTGGGCTTCGTTGGTCACCGATGCGATCCATTACATTAGAGGCTCGGCGCCTAGCGATTGCCCCGAAAAAGCCTCTGTAAGAGCTGCTTTGGCGCCCCTGGCCCGTGCCCTGCCGAATGGCCAGCGTCGAGCAGAGTGCCGACCGGTGGCTTCTTTGCGTTCGTCGGTCTCCTGTGTTCCGGCCCCGAGCAAACCAACACAGCAGCATGCTCGCCCTTGGTGAGTTGAGTGGTGGCTTTTTTCGCGAGCCGAGCCTAGCATCGAGCGATCAAGACTGCGTGCGTGCTTGCACCGTGCTGCTCGCTCATGGTTTATCTTGCTTACCTAGTCATTCTCAATAACCATTATGAAACCGCTCTCTGGCCGTGCGTGGCCTTCTTGGTTCCTGTGCTTGCGTTCGTTCAACAGCAGGTTGGGGAGCAGCCCCTCCGTTGTTGTGCGTAAATTTCTGATGGGCGGCGGTGGCCGGCGTCGGGCTCCCGCCCGAACACCGGTCGAGACGGAGAAGTTGCCGTGGCTGTGAGAAGCAGAGCGGATAATGTAGAAGGAGACATGGGTAAAACGGTCACGTTGGTCAGAAAGATGGGGTTAAAATTTACAAAGTTGGAAAAAACACGAAATGGCAAAATAGCGTGAAACACGGCTTTTATAAGGGCATTCTGGCTAAGCCCACAAATTTAAGGGCATCGTAATGAAACCCACTCTCCATAAAGGCAAAATTCTCATTTTCTCTCCTGAATGCACGCGTGCGTGAATCTGATGAATGCATATATGGATTGGACTAGATTCTTCTCTCGATAAAAAATATCTCGGTTCATCGCCCATTCGTTTGGCTGATAAGTCGTGGCTAAAAGTATTGTTGACTGATTTATTGTAAAAAAAAATATTATTCATTGACTAAAAAAATACGGTTTACAAGGCAAGCGAACAGTCGCATTACATTATGACGGCCGACGTCGTCGTCTTTGCAACCGCGTGATTGCATGAAAAGAGGGATTTTTGCATTACTGTTACAGACCCAAGAGACGGATGGTTGCCTGGATTTTTTTTAAAAGTCATAGTCCCTCAACTATTTAAAGTGGACTACTTCACCCCAAACTATAAAACCGAATTTTCTATCCCCGAACTTTCTAAAAACGGTCAAATAACCCCTAAGCAGTTTTGACGGTGGTTTTGCTACAGTGATGATGGTTTTGTCTTTTTATTTATTTCGTCTGAACCTTTGAAAAATCATAGTACATAATAGAAAAATCATAAAATAGAAAATTCAATTTTGTTGGACTCACATGAGTAGATGTACACAGTGAACATATAACATAATATGTTTTAGTACAAAGTTTTGTTGTAGCTTTACATTTATATTTTTCTGTAATTAATTGGAATAATTCATAGCTGCAGCTTCTATGGTTCAATTGCGGTAAAATTTTTATGGTGAGCTAATTATTGTATGCTTGAACTGTAATAAAAATTCCATACTCATTGGATCATGTATATCTTAGTTATAGGCCTGTTCGCTTGAGCTTATCGGCCATAATCAACCCTACTTTTCCGGCTATGAAAGAGTATTTTTCTCCAACAACAAATCAGTCATACAAATCAGCCGCAACAGCAATAGGTCCTGCCGAACAGAGCCATAGATTTATTTAGGTTTATACTTGTTAAATCTATGCTTTATCTTGCAACCTAGCCATTCTCCAATAACCATTAGAAAGACTCCTTACCACCAGAACATACACCGCTAAGCAAGCCATGCCCTCATGTTGATGATTCATAGTAGGGGTACCACAACTAGTAAATTTATAGTCATGTGTAGGACTTTGCAAGTCTCAGAGACTTAGGATTATACTACTTCAGACAACGTTCCTTATGTCTAGTTTGGTGGTGATCTATCATGTTCCTGAACATGAGGGTTTAGTGTTTGCAGTAGGAATTATAAATGGGAGGAAGAAATACAGAGGAGCTTAAAAACGAGAGAAAGAGGGCAGAGAGAGAGAGAGAGAGAGGGAGAGAGAGAGAAAGAGTAAGCTAAGTAGTCAAGAAGAAGAGGCCCCGCTGCTGACCAGACTAAACGGTGAACGTCCGCCTAAATTAAACCTAGCGAATGATTTTCGGACAGGGTACATTTCCTTTTCTAGCAAAAAAAAAATCCCACCTTCATCCTTTTCTGGATGGAACCACGAGTGCAGCAACCATTCTCCTCTTAAGGCGTGCTTTCCCAAGCTGCTGACATCATTAAAAAAGAAAAACATTTATTTCAAAATACTATAACTTCTTAACGGTGTATCCGTTTTTTTAATTTCGTCTGCACCGATGTGTTCTACGCAATAAGACGAATAAAACTAGACCCTACTTACATGTGTTTCGAAGAATTTTTTCTAGTAGCAATTTATGTGTACTAACTCATAACATATAACTTATAACATATGACTTATGCAAAAACTTGTAAATACAAAAGTTATGAAAACACAACTTATGTATAAGAAGTTATGAAACACAACATATGTTAATAAGTTATTCTAAAAATTTATGTACTTAACTTATTCTATACAACCTGCCAATGCTGCCTAATAAAAATTAAGATAAAAACTTGTGTTAATAAGTTCTACTCTGTAAAATTTTATATTATAAAAGTTGTGACATATAAGTTGTGGTAATATGTTGTGCATAAAAGTTATGTGTATAGCTTGGTAACTTTCAAAAAAAAAAAGGAAAGTTAAGTGTATAACTTGTTTGTACAACTTAAATATATATAACTTGATGAATGACTTAGATGTAAAGTTTGACGTATAAGTTATATTTCATAGTTTAGTTGTATAAATTAATATCATAACATAATAGCAGAAATATGAAACTATATACGAAAAATAACTATAGCATAACTTATAAATATGTAAAAAAAAAAGACAAAAAATGGTACAAAGAAAAATTAAACGTTCATACAGGTGCAGCTAATAGCCAATGTCATGGGACAAATCTGACCAATGTATGGAATATATCTACGTACCACAGAAAGGGGGAAAATATTTAAAAACGAAGTGGAACCTATAAAGAAAAAAACAGCACGGAATAATTAAAGGAAAAAGAACGAAGAGATCCGTGCGGGTGGACGAGTTGTTCGCTAGGGAGAAATCCAGTGAACTACCGCTCATCTGGATTTGGGCCCGCTGCCTCCTATATTGTTGGGGGAGCAGTGTTACACAACGAGAGAGAAAGATAGGGAGAGAGAGAGAGAGTCTTCCTCGTTGAGAGGGTCACGGGGATGAGTAATGATCATGGCATGATACTCTGTGGGAGACCATGCTCCCATGCTATAGGACATCATGTGGCATGAGAGTATATATCCGTGTCTCATGTGCTATCTTCTGATTCACTACGTATAAAACGTTGATTTACATGTCGGATGGAAAATCCTATGACACAACCCGAAGCAAGGCCATGAGTCCTGCTGCCCACATGGACAACAACACCAAGTTGTTGTCCGACCCCACAGACAATGGCACACAGCTGGTCTCACCAACATTGGTGTTGTAGTTCCGTCTGCACGCGCCGCCTCATTGTCAGCTCGTCCTCGCATACACGGCCGTAAACTCACCCCTATAAATGCACGCACGTACATGCACACTACCCTTATGAGGATCACTCCACATTCAACTGATGCTCACATAAATGACTGTACACTCACCCCTGTAAGTGCACGCACATACACACACTACCCTCATGAGGACCTCTAAAGGGCTGAGCAAGATCGATGAATTTCAAGATTGATGAAGCCACCATAGACATCTCAATATCGACGAACACGTCGTCTACCACTGAAATAATAGCATTGTTAAATAAAAATCCTTGAATAAATTATAAGAATATACAAGCACTCACGTCAAGTCAAGTACTTGAACTTAGGTGGACTAGTTCCACCGTTAGGAGCTATCATCCCTAAAAAAGAATTTAAGATTTGGAGCAAGTCAAAGCTTTCTTAAATATGATCAAGTTTCTAAAGAGAATAATATCAACATTGCATCTTTAAATAGGTTTATTATAAAAAAATTCCGTAATAATTAAATGTAATAATCATACATATTCTGTATAGTAAGTGTTACTGTTCTTTGGTGCATGCCTTTTTCTGCCTCGGTTACCCCAAAAAAAGGTTGCGCCAGTGACAGGAGGTTCCTAGCCGAGGGGAGTACTCCTTGTTATGGGAATAAACTAGTGCGGGATAATGTCAATATAAAACTATTTTTTATATAAATTTATCAAATTTGAGTTTGTTTACCTTATTGAACAATAAGAATTATGGCCCTATTCACTTCACTGAAATTTGACTTATGTTGATTTGTTATGAGAGAAAAACGTTATTCTTTCGCTGAAAAGTACTGCTCAAGTAGTGTTGAAAAACAGGGTCTATATATTTTTTGGAACAAAGGGAGTACACGTTTTATAAAAGGGAGAGCACATAACTTTTATCTCTCCTCCCCTCAACCTCCCCTCCTTCCCCTATTTGCATGCGATTTATGCCCTGTTTGAGTCTCAAATATAGTTTAGTCGTCTAAAGTTAAAGTTTAAACTTTAGATCATTTAGCTCACCTATATGATCTAACAAATCAATGACTTTTTTTAGGTTAGCTAAACTTTAGCTCACCTTTATAGGTCTTTAAAAGTAGTTTAATATTTAGTGGCTAAACTTTAGATCACGATACGAGACAATCCCTGAGACGCGGTAAACAAGGAGCATGAAAGAAAGTGAAAATGGATCCAGTGGAATGCCGATGCATGTGCATGCACGCTGCATATGCGTGATGCGTGTATCACTCCACCATTAGGCCGACAACTTGTCTTTGTACATGCATGGGCTCGCCATGGTACGTGCTGCTGCGTCATGGCTGCCGCCACCGCCACCGCCGGCGGCAGGTCCTGTTCCTGACTTCCTGTCCCGTGTGGCGCCCGTGTCATGTACCTTGGACCCACCAGTCAGCGTCATTCCCAACCCGCTGGGGCGCCGGCCATGTGCGTTGCATGCATGCATCTGCATCGAAGCGACGGTCATCGGAACTCGCGCCCTCCTGCCCGCTCCACCTCCAGTCCTTGGACTACTCTACTACGCCACTAGCCGCTCGTCGCTCGATCAACCACTTGCTACGCTAGCAGCAGGACGCCCGCTGTTAAGCGATGGAAGTAACCGCCGGTCGGCATGCAATGCGACGCAGCTTATCCTTCGGTCATCCATGTAGAGCCGTACAGGTATGGTAGAGCCGCCGACACGACGTCGTCGGAGGACGACGGAGGTTGAGCACTGCACCCCACCAGCCCAGCTCGTGGCCTACATCAACCTCGGCACAGTCGCTGGCCATGGGGCTGCTGGCCATGGCGCTGGTGCTGGCGTATCTGGCGACCTTCTGCGGTGCGCAGCGAGGACATGCAGCCGGCGGCCGTGGGGAAGGTGGTTGCTCACCTGCTGGCGGCCACCATGGTGCTCAACAGCGCTTGCAGCGGTGATGTCCCGGGGTGGCCATCGGCGGTGATGGGCTGGCGGTGCGGTACTGGTGGCGGACTGCTACTACGCCTTCGGCCTGCCCCTCGTGTTCTGCCTCGGCTACCTCCTCCGGCTGGGCGCTCCGGGGATCTGGGCCGGCATGCTGTGCGGCACTGCGCTGCAGACGGCGATCCTGCTGCTCGTCATCTGGAGGACGGACTGGGAAGCCGAGGTGAGTGACAGAGCCTCCCCAAGTGCTGGCCATGGCTGATGATCAGCTGAGCTCAAGTGATCTGAACTGAACTGAATGACGCTGCTGTGCTGCAGGCTGCGCTGGCGAAGGAACGGATCAGCTCGTGGAGCGGGGAATGCCGCCATGTCGTCAAGCAGAAGCAGCAGCAGCAGCAGCAGCAGGGGGAAACCGGCATCGACAGCGACCTCAAGGACAAGGAGGCCTTGGCTTTGCGAGTGTGACATGCCACACGAGCAGAGCAGGGACTTGGGCGTCCCGTACGTGCTGGAATGGCCTGGTCCTCTCCCATGCTTCGTGTTCATTTTAGGCCGTGACCTCTAGACACGCGGAAAATGTCGGACCATGCATGCCACTACAACATGACAACTCTTTGCTGCACATGTCTTTGTGCTGTGTTGGCAAATCTTATAATATCTTTGTTTGTTTTCCTGGTGGCGTAGATAAGTTTAATCTTGTATGTAGCATTTTTATGAATAATTCATTCAAGGATTAGATTAGAGGTAGTATAGTAACTATAAATTTACATCATAGTGTTGTAGATGTCCTAACGTGCTATTTTCGTACCGTGCGCTGTCCAAAAAAATAGACCAAAATACGGGGTCTTTCGTGCCACCATGTCGATTCTAAACACGGCATGACCCTCGTGTTCATAACATGTCGAATTTTAAGCCACGCCAAAAGGTCTGCCATGGTCTGTCCTCATATGGCACGACTCCATGTCCCAGCTCTAACCAAGAGCTTCCTCTATTCCTTGTTCAATGTTCACCCCTACACTTGATCATTCATCAGATCTAAAAAGAGTGTACATACATGTTTATTGCCCGATAATGCATTTAGTTTGGCACGCATTTCGGAGTTGAAGCCCACTGACCCAACAATAAGTATTATACTCTCCCTATCAAGTAGAGATTTGTCCCGACATCGAGTGTCACATATTCTCACTGGAGCGAACCGATCATAGGTTAGTTGGTTAGGCACCTTGTGATGGAACCTGCCCACTCAGATTTAAGTCATCGACTTGGTACGGGTGCTCACATTTTCCTGGATTTAAATCAGGATTTAACGACGCTATGCTGTAAGTGGTAGGCGACGTCCCCATCGACAGCGAGGCCATTGTGGTGACTTCGTGAATTTCGAGATCTGCCGACTCAGTTCTTCGGATGTGCTCATAGGGGTAGGGTTTGCGTACGTGTGTTCACATGGATGATTGTGCATGCGTGTTGAGCGGCTGCGTTGTACTATGTAATTCTAATATATATATATATATATACACACACACATACATACGGTAAGGCTATTCTGCAGTACACACACGGTAAGGCTATTCTGCAGCTGGCCACAGAATAACTTATTCTATGGCCACCTTGATTTACGATAATGTTTGTACCAATTTACGATAATGACAATACACATTTATCATACATGGGTTACTATAATTCAAGATGATACTTACCATAATGCTATAGTAAATCACTTATGAGGGAGTTACCATAATCTCGTAAACTCAAAGTGGCCATAAAATAACTTATTCTGTGGCCAGTTATAGAACAGTACGTGTGTGTGTATATATATATATATATATATATATATACACACACACACTCACTAGAGGCTTGACCCGGCACCGGCAATGACCCTCATGCTATCACTGCGAGGTCTAGGCTTGACCCAGTGGTAATACACCGTTGAATTAAAGAACCGATTGTAACACCCCGGCTCAGGGCTTAATAGGATTAATAGGATACTCGTACCAACAAGTTGCAATTTCTTTTATGGAAGGGACAAAGTACGCAGAAAAGACTGGTGTTGGTCTGTGAGGGCAGTCTATGTCCTAGGAAAGCTATCCGATGTAAGCGGGCCTGACCTCGAGGAGGCGGGACGTTACAGAATGGTATCAAAGACGACCCTTGCGGTTTCATGGGTGCGTGTGTCAGTTGCGCAGGCATGGTGCGCATGGCTGGTGTGGACCCAGAGTGGTCACCCAGCATGGCACATGCGTTGGCACTGGACACACGGACGTGGCCAAGAGGGGGACGTTCCTGGCATGGGGTTGACCGACGAGGACGTCGGTCTCCTAAGGGGGTGAGGATGTAACACCCTGGCTCAGGGCTTAATAGGATTAATAGGATACTCGTACCAACAAGTTGCAACTTCTTTTCTGGAAGCCCATCTCTTAAGAACTCCAAGGTTAAGCGTGCTTGGCCTGGAGCGATGGGTGACCGACCGGGAAGTTCTTCCCGGGGGCGCATGAGTGAGGACAAAGTACATAGAAAAGACTGGTGTTGGTCTCTGAGGGTACGCAGAAAAGACTGGTGTTGGTCTCTGAGGGCAGTCTTTGTCCTAGAAAAGCTATCCGATGTAAGCGGGCCTGGCCTCGAGGAGGCGGGACGTGAGGTCAGAATTTCCGGGGACCCCAGAAGCCTTACAAAATGGTCCCATTCGAAGCGTTGTATGGCAGAAAATGTAGAACACCACTAAATTGGGTCGAGCCAGGAGATAGAAGGTATTATGGCATTGACTTTGTAGAAGAGGCCGAGAAGAAAGTTCGTATTATTCAACAAAATATGAAGACGGCCCAATCACGTCTGAAAAGTTATGCTGATAGAAGAAGGAGACCCCTTGTGTTTGAAGTTGGTGACTATGTTTATCTGAAGGTCATGCCAATGAAGAAGAAACGGTTTGGAGTCCGAAGAAAGCTGTCGCTAGATTTGTAGGATCATACAAGATCTTGGAAAAGAGAGATCCAGTAGCTTATAAGATAGAGTTATCTGAGACAATGAGTACCGTCTTCCTAGTTTTCCATGTATCACATCTTAAGAAGTGTTTACGTGTTCCGGAGGAAAGAATAGAACCTCGAGGCATCCAACTCAAATCAGATTTGGTGTATCGTGAGCAACCGGTCCGGGTGTTAGACACTAAAAAACGTGCTACTCGGAATAGTGTGGTGAAGACATACAAGATACAGTGGAATCATCATGATGAGGGGGATGCAACTTGGGAAACGGGAGAATATTTACAAAAAGCTTATGAAGATTTTTATAACAAATGGTTCGTAACCCAAATCTCGAGACGAGATTTTTATAAGGGGGAGGGCTGTAACACCCCGGTGTTATGCCAGCATTTAGGCACTGCAAATCATGCATATTGTGCATCATCAAGCAACCTAATCATACATGCCTAATCATGTAAATAATAACTGAAACAGTGCTTCGAAACATATGAAACATGCTCGCGAAACATGAATGTTGCATACACTAGTTTAGAGTTATTTTGCCCTAATTATGCTTGCTAGGTTAGTAAAACATGTTTGGCTATAATTGTAAATCATCTAGAATTATTTAGCATAATTTTTAGAGCAAAGTTTGTATTCAAACTTTTGGCAAAATATGCTTTTGAAATTACTATTGGAAAATGTCAAAAATCCCCTCTATTTAGCTTTTTACTTCCCAATTCAAAATCTATGCAAAATTTTTAGTTGATCCCTAAAGCAAAGTTGTAGAGGACTAAATTCTAAGCAACTTTTATTTTTGGACCATTTTCAAAGGAAGTCATTTTCTTGCTCAAAAGGGTATTTGAAAACTGATATTGGAAAATTCCTTGAAAATAGAAATTAAAAAAAATGGTTTCTCTCCTTCTTGGGCGCGCCTCACTTACAGCCCGCTCATGAACTCGGCCTGCTTGGCGCTGTGGCTTCACCACAGCCCAACAACCGCTTTTCTTTGGCCCAGCCCACGCCGCGCCTCAACGCTGCTGCATGCTGTGCCCGACCGCAAGGTCGGGCTGCGCCGATGGGCCGCCATCTTATGTGCTGGCGACGACGCCGACGGCAGCCCAGCCTACCCCCCGCTTCTTCTCGCGCGCCTACACTGCCGACAGCAGCTGCGCTCCTCTCCACTCACTCCCGCCCGCTCTCTCGCTCTCCCGTGCTCGCCCCTCCTCTCGCCGCGGAAGAGCACAGCGCCGCTGAGCACCGCTCCACCTCCGCCACCGCCTACTTCTAGTCCACAGCTCCGCCACGTCAACCTCCATCATTTGCGCCCACGTGCGGCTACCGTCGTCGAGGTGAGAGGCTGTTGTGGCCGGTTTTCGTCTCTGCACCGCCATGGCCGAGCTCGTCGGAGCTCGTGCCCGCGCGGACAGCCCGGCTCTACCTTCCTATCTTCCTCCTTCCTCGCGCACTGTGCCCGCCTTGCCCTTGCGCATCTTGTGCGCGCCCGGCCTGTGCCTTGCTGTGGCCGGGAAGTGCCGGCATGCGAGCATGCCGCGCCACCGTGTCGTCCGGAACGCCGGCGGGGCGTGACTCCTTCACCTCGGCCGAGCTGGGCCAAGTGGCCGTGGGCCGAAGCCCCAAGCCAGGCCGCCCTTCCCCTTCGCTCGGATTGCGTAGGCCAAAAGTGGCCGTGGGCCAGTTGTTTCCACGGGCCGGCCCAGTAGTAATAGGAAAATTACGTTTTCAGTTTTCTTTTATTATTTGGGAAGAGAAATGCTTTGGAAAATGTTTGTGTACTCATTTTGGCTCCAAATTTGTTGAAACAAATTTTGCTAGGTTCCTTGTCACCAGATATACATGATAAAAATATTGCATGTCATTTTTGAGATACTTTTCTGTAGAGCTTTATTTAATCCTTGATATTGCTGATATCTTATAAAATGTGTAGTAAAACCTATATGTTTCAGAAAAATATGCTTCCAAGTGTGTTATTCTTCTTGTGTAATGTACTTCCTAGGAAAATATATGTCATGCATGTCCTGTAGAAAAATTGTGAGATGTAGTTCAAGTGCCTTTAATGGCTAATTTTTTATTATTTTTGCTAGAGAGCAAAATTTGTATAAAACATGCATGTGATAATTTTTGTACAGAGATTATTTATTGTTTAGAACCTAGGGAAAATACTAAAGCCGTTGTTTGACACTTTTCATAATACAAAGTATTTTCATGCTCATAATTAGGTCCAAGCTTGTCATTTTTGTGTAGGCTATTCCACTTATCCAAATGCCATAAAAATCTGATGATAGACTACTTAGGGTAGCACTGTGCTATGGTAATTTTCTAAGATTTTTCTTAGCTATAAAAATACATATTGCTATTCAAACCTATTGTTAATTTGGGTTTAATCAAATATTGCCTTATGTGTGATTAAGGAATTAGTGAAGCTTTGGTGTATCTTTGAAGCATTTAATGAGATGTGTTGACTTAGCATATTAGTAGTAGAAGAGAATG